CGTGACGTTCTCGAAGGGCTTGAAGTGGACCCACATCTGCATAAAAGTAGCACTGCAGATGATGGTTGAGCACTTGGCACTTGGCCTTCAATATCCAGCCTGTGCCAGATGCACGTCCCAACTTCACACAGCCCATGCTACACATGTATCCACCATACCTAACACTTAAAAACAGCAGCTGAGATCCACCTGGTATGCAGGAAAACTGGGCACAGGTGAAGAGGTGGCGGCGTGTCGTGAGTTATTACTCACCTTGCTGCAATGTTCAAGATAACCCTATATGCAGCCCAACCAAGCCCCCCATGCTGCAAATATTAATACTCTAAGTGATTTTAAAACGCCGGCTGGCCTTTAGTAGCCAGCCTTTATGGAAGTAGAGATACAGGCACCAACTTAATAGAGCTCTTGTTGACGTTACGGGCTGCAATTCATTCTCGCAATGAAGCATGACCGAGCCCACTTTGCTGCTCGCAGCAACACTTGTTGAATATTGATTTGTTTCTCAATTGCCAGCATTCGTACGTGTCCTGATGGGGCTGCAAGCCTCTGATTGCCCGTCATACAGAAAGCTACACGAATGCCAGTTGTACTGAGCTCAGCCCAGTTCGTTCCTTACATGCGATCCCTAATTTGATAAAACAGATGATGCCCTGTCTGTATACAAGGAGCTGCAGACACTTACATTACAAGGCATAAAATATCATTCTTAAGGATCGAAGTTTCTCTGAAACAAGTATATTCTACCCGTCCCCTGCGTACATTTGACCTTCGTGCCGTCTTTGTCACTGGCCCCGCGGCCAGCGGCAGCGCACCCCAGGTTTATTCCGTACTCCAGAACTGTTATAGAATACGGTTTACTTGTTTGATTTGCTTTTACTTGAACGATAACATTTTAAGGGTATACTATGTGAACTCGATGTGCTCTTCCGGCTCAACAATGTATGGCATCACACCGCAGAAGTCATCGTCAATGTCGAACGCAGTACAATCGAAAACGACAAAAAAATTGTGTCATCTCCCGAATAAAAGTTTCCTGTATTCACCTCACTGTTTTTTTTCTTAACAATATTTTAACTAAGTAATCCAACGACACG